CCTGCGGTCCGTCACTGAGGGCAGCCTCCCACACCCCAACGCCACTCTCCTGGCTGGGGACGTGGATGAGTGAAGTGAGGTCCTGGGCTCAATCCCCAGCACACACAGGAAAAAGCCAGGCTGCTCCCCTCTCTGCCTCCCCTTGCTCCCCCGCCCCCCACCCACTTGCTTTCAGTTCCCTGAATCTGCCCACTTCCTCCCACTCGGGGCTTTGGTTGGTCCCCACTGCCTGGGACGCCCCCAACCCCGTCCTCCACCCTCCCTGGAGGCCTTGCCTGCCCCACAGACTTCCATTTCCCCACCCAGGGTCTATTTGGTAGCTGTTTCCTAAAGGCCTTTCAACAACAGTGCACTTGAGGACATCTTGCGTGACTTCGCATGGGCCACCATTTTCTCTCTGGTCTGTCTCCGGGGCACTGCGCGGTGGAGGTGCTCTGTCCCTCGATGTGCCATGCTCCCGCTCCAACAGGACCGGCGCCTTCCAGTCAGGCAGGGCACCGCCTGCCGGGGCTGTGGCATCACCTCGTATTTACCTCCCTTGGCCTCAGAGCCAGGCAGCTTCACTCGGCAAGCCTGTCTCCTGCCAGAGCCGTTACAATTTCTTAGCTCCAGGCGGAGACAGCCCGCAGATGGCTTAATTTAGCAGCATCTCGGAAGGAATTCCTTACTCCAGCTCTTCATCTTTGGACTCCGGGGGCCGGGGGTCATGACCACACCGGGGCTCCAGGCCTGATTTGTGCTGGGGCTCCTCACGTGTGGCTGAGCTGCTCTTTTCAGAGGGAGAGTGTGCGCAAGGGACGGAGCCATGACCTCGCTGCCTGTGGCTTCCCCGACTCCATCGAGGAGCACCTTAAGAGGCAGGCCAGCCTAGTGCCAAAGAGCTCAGGCCTGGTGTCCTGCACCCTGGTTCAGTCTGTGAAACCCAGGGCAGGTGATGGAGACTTCCAGGGCCTCTGTTGCCCATCTGCCAAACGGAGCCAGGGGTGGTGCCACCCTCGTCAGGAGGTCCCAAGGCTGGTGTGAGATAGACAGGCCATAGCCTGGTGCCCGGCGCATCTGTACTGACGCTGCATGGCTGTGACAAGGAGTAGCTGCAGGTGCCCGTTCTGGGCCTCTGAGGCCACTTTTGCAGCAGCACCTGCCGGAGGATGCTTTCTGAGGGCTGGACTGTCCCTCTCCACAGACGACTGGTTTGGGTTTGGGATTTGGGGATTCCATGGCTGCAGCATCCCCTTTCCTCTCCCAAGGGCCCACCCGCAGAGGCTTTTGCTTGAGTAGGCTTCCAGGAGAGCCCCCAGTCTGGCAGCTGAGTGCGTGCAGGGCCGTTAGGGGCTGCATTTCCCCCCAGAAGTTTCCTAACAAACTGCCATGAACTTTGGTAGCTTAAGACAACTTACTCTCACAGTTTGGAGGACAGAAGTTTAAAGCCGGGATGTGGGCAGGCCTATACCCACTCTGAGGGTTCCAGGGCTGCCTCCTTCAGCCTCGGGAGGCTCCTGGGCCAAGGCCCTGCACCCCCGGGCTCCACCTTCACCTGACCTCCTCTGTGTCTTCTGTCTCTTCAAAGACCCTTGTCCCCTTAGTAACCCAGAATGATCTCATCCTGAGATCCTTCACTTAATACATCTGCAAAGAGCTTCTTTCCAAATAAGGTCACATTTGTCCATTGTAGGGACATTGGTCAACCCAGTCTGAAGGCCAAGGAGAGCTGTGGGGGCGGGGGGTAGCAGAGACAAGGATCACAAAGGGCTGGGACACATGGGAGCATGAAGAATAAAGTGGTTGCCGAGGGGCGGGGGCACTGCTCAATGGGGATCAAGTTTCAGTTATGCAAAATGAACAAGTTCTGGGGCTCTGGGTGACGTTGAGCCTGTAATCAACAACAGTGTGCGTATACATTGTGCATCTAAAATTTGCTAAGAAGGTAAATTTCATGTTAACTGTTCTTACCAAAATAATGGAACTTCAAAAGATAACTCTTCTTACCAAAAAACAAAAACCAACATGGTAAAGGAGACTTGGGGCAGCAATGAACATTTGCATTGCCCTGGCTACAAGACGGTCTCCCAGGGACTTGCGCATGTCCACACTCCAACGACACACCGTGATGGGCACAGCTTGTATGTCAAATATACCCCAATAAGGCTGTTAAAGTTTTTACAATTTTCACATTTATTTATTTTTGATACTAGGGATTGAATCTAGGGATCCTTTACCACTGAGCTACATCCAAAGCCCCTTTTTTTAATCTTTTATTTTGAGACAGGGTCTTGCTAAGTTGCTGAGGCTGGCCTAGAACTTGCAATCCTGAGTCACGGGGACTTTAGAAGTGCGTCACCATGCCCAGCTACTAAAAGTATTTTAGGGGCTGGTGTTGTAGCTCAGTGGTTGAGCACCTACCTCGCACGTGTGAGGCACTGGGTTCAATCCTCAGCACCACATAAAAATAAATAAAGATATTGTGTCCATCTACAACTGAAAAAAAAAATTTTTTTTAAGTTTTTTAAAGATGGGGCTGGGGTTGTGGCTCAGTGGTAGAGTGCTCACCTAGCATGCACAAGGCACTGAGTTCGATCCTCAGCACCACATATATTTAAAATAAAGATATTGTGTCTACCTAAAACTTAAGAATAAATATTTTTTTAAAGTTTTTTATTTTTTATTTTATTTTTTTTTTAAAGAGAGAGTGAGAGCGCGCACGCGCGAAAGAGAGAGAGAGACAGAGAGAGAGAGAGAATTTTCTTTTAATATTTATTTTTTAGTTTTCGGCGGACACAACATCTTTGTTGGTATGTGGTGCTGAGGATCGAACCCGGGCCGCACGCATGCCAGGCGAGCGCGCTACCGCTTGAGCCACATCCCCAGCCCTAAAAAAGTTTTTTAAAGAAAAAATTATTTTGACAATGACAATGTAACAGAATTGGAAATTATTTTGACATAATGTTAAGTTTTTTATAAAACCATATGTAAGTTGTCACATAATTTATTTAGTTAGTTTTGCAGTACTGGGGACTGAAGTCAGAGTGCTCCACCCTGAGCAGGTGGACATCAGGTGTCTGGGGAAGAGCCTGCCCTGGTGGACTCTCGAGTTTTGGGGTTGGGCTCTTCTGAAGCTTGAGACCAGGGCTGAGGCCAGAATGCTGCCGTAGGGGTCCATACAGGGACTTGCAAAGGCCACGAACCTGAAACAGCCTGCACTTTTTTGGACATAAGGACTTGTGGGCACCTTCTTTTTTTTCCCAGAAGAAGTGGGGTCCACATAGGATAGGGAGTGAAGAGCAAGGTCACTCCAGGAATAGCCAGATCTACTCACCACCATCTGATTCCGTGGGTTCCCAACAAGCTCCCATGACCCCACCTCCTTTCCACCCGTGGTCAAGGAACAGGGAGCACCCCAGACAGCACCAGCAGTAGCTGCTGCAGAATGTTCTGGAAAGAACTCAAAACTCCCTCAAGAAGAAACCAAAAGACTCTAGAGGAGGGGGAGAAGGCTAACAGAGTTTTTCTACCACCAATTTCCTGTGGGGCAACCTTGAACCAAACCCTGCTCTGAGCCTCCGTTCTTGTCGGTAGACCAGCGCACGTGATCCCACTCAGGCTCTGCTTTGCACAGAGCACAGAGACTTCCCTCTACAAGTTCTGTCTTCTCCCTGTTCATATTTCTTTCTCACTTTGTCATGTTAAGGCTGCTGGCTAGACGTAGGCCGAGCTGGCCACCCCTAAGGGAGCCAAGGGTGCCCTGGATGCTTGACGAGAACCTGTAGCTGCTGGGACACGGCTCCTGCTTTATCCTGCAGCCACCACGGGCTCTCAGCTGCCCTGCAAATCCAAAGGGAACCACCTGGCTGGCCCTCCACCCAGCCACCATGTCCCCCAGTGAACCCTTGGGAACTTGAGCCCTGCTGAGCCTCGGCCAGCAGGGGTACTTCCCCTGTGCCTGGGGAGCCCCTGCACCTCCTTGGAGCCCACCCACCCCTTAAGCACCTCTTCTCCAGGGACGCCTCCCTGGCTCCAAGGCCTGGTCTTGCCACTGCGGTGGATGCCCTCTCTCCCTGTGCTGGACTCTCAGCCCCTGAGGGTGGGCCGGGTCTCCCTCACCTGCGGCTGTATGTCCCAATCCTGGTGTGGAGCCGTGCTCAACAGACAGGAGTGCGTGGAGGGGCGAGGGAGGGGACAATGAGAGGACGCCTAAGCGGACAGCAAACCCACCCCCTTTCTCCTCTGCCTCCTTTGGGTCATCCTGGGCAGAAATGCCACTTAGGGGGTGTTGTGCTCAGTTAATGGGTGGGATCTCCGACACTAGGAGGTGAGGCTGCCCAGTGGACAACTGGCGGGCGGCAGGAGGGGTTCTCACCCGGCACCCTCCCTCCTTCCCTTCCCTCCTGCCTTTTAGTACCTTCCTCAGCCTCCAAGCAGCTGGGCTCACAGGGGTGCTCCATCATGCCCAGTTGGCTGCGCTTCTCGAGAGGAGAGGGCAGGCCAAGGACGGCGGCTAACTGGTGCTGGGGATGGGGCAAGCTGGGCCAGGTCTACCACTGTCACACCCCAGCCCCTGATGGCATGAAGTCTCAACTGCAGAGGTTGCCACTTTTTGGATCTGTCTCCATGGAGTGTCCCCCCCCCCCAACGGCAAGGTGATACTCTTGAACTCTGACCCTGAAGCCATCAATGGCAGGGCCCTGATCACACAGGCAGGAGGGGAGTGAGACCGCATTCCTGGGAGGGACAGCTTTTAATGGTGGGAAATCAGCATGTGAAGGACAACACTGCTGCTAGGTCCCATCGCACGGTGGCTCCAGTCATGGGTGACATTGACTCTGCATCATCTTCCCCAGCCGCGAGGGGGACCTGAGACGCCGCGGTCCTCTCCCCTCGGGTCTCCTGCTCCTTGCCTTCCCTCAGCGCACTGCCCGGGTGTCTTCCCAGGAGCAGGGTGGACCAGTGGAGGAGGGGAGCGACCCAAATGAGGCTCCCCCTCTGCTCTTCCCCTCTGTATGCAGGTGGGTCGCCATCTTGACACGTTCCCCACCGAGGCTGATCGCCAGAGAGCACTCAAAGCCCAGCGAGAAGAATACGCAGTGCGCCAGGGGACCCTGCGCCTGGGCAACTACACCCACCCCTAGGCCCTCGCCTGCCTGGGGAAGCCCGTCGCAGTGGAGACCCCCGGAGGACTCAGCTCTCTGGCCAACCCCAGCGCGACCCTCCTCCCCGTCTGCAGTTTCTGCTGTGCGAAGACCCAGTCAGGCCTTAGCTTGATATTTTTGGCAAGGCCCTCCCTTTAGGTTAGCCAATACCAGTCCTACCTACCCCAGTGGCCCTCGACCTGGGGACTCCTCCTCCTCAGGCTCACCCTGCTTCTCTGCAAGCTCTCCCCTGACCCCATGAACCCCAATTACAAGGCAGTTTTTAAAAATCCCAGCTAAGGGTCGATCCTAGGACTCTGCCCATTAGGCATCAAGAACCACCTGTGTTTCCTGCAGAAAGCGTGACAGTGACGTCCTTTGAAAGCTCTCATTTCATATTCCAAACATGAGTTTTAATTGCTCTTTTTGGGATGCCTAGTGTCTCGCCACAGCAGAATAATCTCTCTGGGACCCCTGACAGCAGGCAGAGCTGATGGTTCATTACTTGGACAGCCCCCACCCCTCAGCTCAGGGCCCCGTCAATCAGTCAGGCCAGGCTAGGCTTCCCACCAAGCCTGCCTGGGGTGTGGACCCCTCCCTAGAAGGAGAGAGGCTGCCAGGCCAGTGGGACTTCTCAGGCAAACTTCTGGGTGCTTCTTAACTCAATTTTCTGCAGGTTCTTTGGCTTCTTCTCACAAATTATATGCTGATCTGTTTTAAATTTAAAGGCTGTCTGTCCTCTCTCTCCCTCAAGTCCCCGTGTGTAAGCCAATAAAGCCTGAAGCAGTGAGCCACCGATATGAGACTCACCCGGAGTCAGTGTGGCTGCCTGAGACCCTCCAAGGTTCACTAACCTCCAAGACATACCCCGCACCCGACCCGAGTCAGGCAAGACTTGGAGCTTTACACTCCCTTTCTACCCTGGGGGCTCCCAAACGCCGATATTCACCTGGACTTCTCCCCGGAGTCCTAGACTCTCCACCCGGCTGCCCACCTGCCACCTGCATGTGGCGCCTGGCATTCCGCTCTAACCCAAACAGAAGACTCCATCTTCCCGCCAAGCCCACCTCCTCGTCTGCCTCTCCCGTGTCATGAGACCCGTCCACCCAGCTGCTGCGGCCCAAACTGCACCATTCTGTTCCCTGACGCCTGAGCCACCAGAAGCCTGTCACCACGACCTGCCCAACCCTACCCTGGGCCAGCCGCGGCTTTCCGCCTCACGGCACCAGCTGGAGGAAGCACCCTGGTCCTCTCTCTGGAGGATCCCAGCCACCTCCCTGCTTCCTGGCCCACGGCGCAGTCCCCAGCCCCTTGGCACTCAGGGACTTCCATCACTCCTGAGAAAGCCACAATCTGCTGGCAGGAGAGCCACGGCCCACCCCTCGGGCTCCCCTCCCACCGTGGCCACTGGCTCACGCCTGCCTTGGCTCCTGCGCTTTGTGCTCCTTTTTCTCTCTGCCTGCAGGCCTGAGCCCCAACTGTCACCTGCCTCCTGCTTGTCATTCAGAGCTTAGCTGCACCCCTCCTCAAAGGCCTTTCTCGGAAGAGCCCCAGGTGAATTCCACAGCCTGTTTTATTCTCTGCAGAGCCGTGACCTGCTCCTCTTTCCCTCTAGGAGGGAAGCACCGACCCTCCACCCACACCGCAGCCCACCAGAAGCCAGTTCACACAGATGCCCCTGCCTCAGCAGGGCCTGATGGACCCCACCCACCCATGAGCCTGGACCCCTTCCTCAGCACCATGGAGACAACATCCTCACTCATTTCACAGTCCTGGGGTGGAACCCAGGGGTGCTCTACCCCAAGCTACAATCCCAGTCCTTTTTTATTTTGAGACAGGTTCTCACTAAATCGCCCAGGCTGGCCTTAAACTCTTGATCCTCCTGCCTCCTGAGTTGCTGGGATCCCAGGTGTGCACTACCATGCCTGGCACACCCTCACTCATTTGGCCCAAGCTGCCCTTGACTCACTGAGCAACCAAGTCTGGCAGAGGAGAGCCCAGGCAGTACCATGCCACCACTGTCAAGAGCACGGGCTCAGCTCCACCAAATACTTTCTGCAGGACCTTGAGCAAGACACCTATCCTCTGTGCCTTATCTGTGAGCTCGACTGTCATAGGACATTTCCTCAAGGTACATTAGATAACGATGGCTTTAAATAAAGTATATAATGTGATTAGCACAGAGTCTGGCACTTTTAAGCTACAAGTAAATACAACTTTTAATTTCTTTTTACCAAAGCACACTGGGAAGGCGCAGGCACCAGAGTCCTGTGGGTGACAGGGGGCAAGGGCAGGATGTTCAGAGGGACAGGTTGCTCTGAAATTCCCTGTGGCCGGGGGTGGGGGGGTTGGGGGACACATCAGGGGACAGAAGTTTGCCAAAGGACCCAGAATTGAACTCGCTGCTCCAAAGGGTGAGGCCAGCCCCTCCCTGGCCACAAGAGATGACCACCTGCAAGTGGCCCTGTCAGGCCTGCTTTTCCAAGGCCTGCCAAGCACAGGCTCAGCCCCCAGCGCTCCAGGACTCTCGCTGGTTTATCCCACCACTTGCTGCGGCAGAGGCCCACCGCGCGCTCTCGGAGTGCACAGCCCAGGCCCTCCCGCCAGGCCCCCAGCGCTCTCTCCCGAGAGCCTCTCGGCTCCTTGTCCTACAGCGCCACCCGCTGGCGTGCTTGAGTCAGCGACAGCAGAGGTTCCTGATCTTTCCGCCGGGCGTCCCTCTCTCCCCCAGGGCTTGGTTCTTCCCTCATTGTTAATTTCTGAACCCACACAAAGCCCCAGGTCTGACCCACCCTCTTGGGTAGTACCCCATATCTTCAGCGGAGCCCCTGTCCTCACTTGAACCAGGCTTGGGGGAGGAGGTGCAACTACCTGCCCTTCTGAACCGGGCTAGTCCGGAAGGTTCCAGCTTGAGGGGCCTTGGGCTTCATCCTATTGACCTCCTCCTCCACCACCACCCCAATTTCACAGACTCTCTCGAAAGGGAGTGTGCTCGAGGGAGGCTGACACGTTGCCACAGGCCAGGGACAACCACTGTGTGTTCCAGTCTGTCCCCCCAGTCTCCTCTAAAGATGCACAAATGTGGGGAGGGCTTGGCTTTGCAACCCAAGTCCTCCTAATCACTGCCAACAAACACCAGGTGAGGATGGGCATCACAGGGATGGCCCTGTGCCCCTGTTTTGGCTGATTTCCCCACTGGTTGACATTCAGGAGCATTCTACCTCTGGTTAGATTTCTTGGCAATGCACCACTAACCAGAGACTGCGTGTACTGTCTGCAAAAGACACAGGGAGACGGCTGATCTGGACCTTCCTCTGCTCTGCTTGAAATTCTTTGAAGTCCCCTCTGAGGTGGGAGGGACCTGGTGTACACCTGGCAGGAGAGGGGAGCAGAAGCAGGCTGGGATGCAGGACATGGAGATGGAGCCTTGGAAGACAGGATTCACCAGGACAGAAGGGCCCTTCAGACCACCTGGACCCGCAGGAGAAGAGGGCTGCAGAGCCTTCTACCAGCAGGACCAGGGCCAGAACAGAGCTCCTGGGCCGAGGGCCCAGCTTTCTTCCATGCTGACACCACCGGCTTAGGTCGACTTCCAGATTTATAAACCAGAGCCGGGTTCATACCCAGAAAACTCATAACTACAGGCCACCATGCAGGCTTCATGTATGTTTTTAAAGCAAATCACTTCCTGAACCCAGAAGAAAGGAGGGGGTCAGGGGCTTCTGGAGGCTGACCGCTGTGAAGGATTCTCAGCAGGACTAGTGGCCCCTGGGCATGTCAGCTACCTGCCTGGCAGGGACTCCTAGAAGCTGGAAGAGAAAGTACTTTGTAGCCAAGATCTAATCCCACCCAGGAGGTCCTGAGTCCAGAGAGAGTCTGCCTTCTTGATTCACTATCCTAGCACCCAGCTAGTGCCACCTTGGAAACAGCAGATGGCGGAGACTAGACTGCCCCTATGGCAGGTCCATGCTCCATACTGAGGTGGACCTGTACTGCAGCTGGGCAGGTCTGCGTCTCCAGCCAACAACTTTCTTTTGCATTTATTCTTATAGACCAAAACTTTTTTTCTGCCTTTCTTTTTCTTTGGGAAACCTTTTGATGCTTGGAATCATCATTAAGGATTGGGGGGGGGGACTAGGCTGGCTTTTTATATAGGTTCCTAGAACTGAATGCAGGAAAATTACAAACTTGAATCTGCAAGTGGAAAATTATCTAGAAAAATTTTGGGAAGGGGAGCTGGGGAACAAACCCAGAGCCTCAGACATGCTGGGGGAGTACTGTCCTACTGACCACACCCGCGCACAATGAAGGAGATTCGTCCCGATGGGCACCACTGCATTCTGTGGGCTCCAGTGGGGTGGGTCTTCCCTGCCACGACTTGCAAGCATCTAGCATGAAGCACAGGACAGCAAGCTCAGCGGGAAAGAAGAGAGGGAGGGAGCAGGGAGAGCTAGAGAGAAGATGGGAGGAATTGGGAAGAAAAACAGAAAATGTTCTTTCCTGCTTTCAGGAGTGCCACGGGGTTTTGACCTAAAAAGACACAAAAGGTTGTGAACATCCTGGCCTTGAGGCCTACTCTCTTTTCAGATCCTTGCCCAACCCATTGGCTGTCAAAGCAGAGAGAGGCTGGCACCCAGGGCTGGTGTCACCTCAATCCTCAGTCCAATCCTCAGTAGTTAGGGACACCGACCACTGAAGGAAAGTCTCCAGCTATGATTAGTAGTCATAACATGATTTGCGTGACCACCGTTCCTCAGGATCCAGGCCACGTATGAAGAGTCACCTGGGCAACATCGTCCCACTGTGCAGCTGGAAGAGATGGTTCAGTGGTTTGCTTTAAAAGCAAATACATAAAGCTGGCACAGTGGTACTCCTGTTATCCCAGCCACTAGGGAGGCTGAGGCAGGAGGATGGAAAGTTCAAGGCCAGCCTGGGCAAATTATAGTGAGACCCTGTCTTAAGATAAAAAAAATTAAATTAAAAAGGCTGGGGATGTCAATAGTGGTAAAGCACCTGAGTTCAATCCCCCAAATTGAAATTAAAAATAAGTGTGACTTCAGCCAGGTACAGAGACAACTCAAGAAACTGAGGCAGGATGATTGCAAATTGAGACCAGTGAGACCCTGTGACAACATTCAAAGGGGGCTGGGGTACAGCTCCATGAGAGAGCACCGCTGGGTTCAGTCCCCATTTCCACATACTCCAACAAAACAACAACAACTTTTCAGGAACAAAATTTGCCTAAGGTGTAAAATTCAAGGGATTTCCAAACAAACTCAGTAATTAATATTTCTGATAACAATATTTTTAAACCAAACATTTAAAGCCCAGGAGAGACAAAAATATCAACATTTAAAAAAAAAAGATTTGCTGGACTTACCAGTCCTAGATTCCAGAGTCAGGGCTCTAGTTCATCCCCAGCCCCACATGCTGCCCTAGACCAGCTGCCCGCGTGCCACATTCTCATATGAGCAGAACCCTCAGGGTCATTCTCAAGAGCGCTGAGCATAGCTCTCCTGGCGGGTGGCTCTGTCTGCTGAGTCAGATGAACAAAACCGGCAAAAGCAACCCTTCCTCCAGCCCCAGGGTTGAGCAGGGTTGGGGAGAGAGGAAGTCAGGGCTGGGTTCTGAGGATGCTGATGAGAGCCATGACCCAGCCAGAAGCCCATGCTCTCCCAGGTCCATCCCTCACCCAAAGTCAAGTCCAAGCCAAGAGCCTAGGTAGAGAAGGATGTGGATTCTACAGCTGGCTCCTGATGCTGATGCTGTGTACTAAGGGGAATGCTGGGGTCCTGGCTGGCAGGAGACAGGGGCTGACCAGAGCCTTCTAAGGACTTGCCAGTGCGTGTGCCTGCCCCATCCCTCTCTCTGTGGGTGGCTGGTCTTGGACCTTCTAGGGCTCTGGGTCCAGAAGTGCTAAGTGTTTAAAAAGAAAACAATCTCAAGGGACTGGGCAAGGAAGAACTGTAATCTGACGCAAGAGATTCCAAGAGGAGGTGGGAAGTGGGTGTATAGGGTCTGGGGTCTTGAAAGGATGCTCAGGACAGGGAACGTGGGTGCTGGAGTGGCAGTTCTGGGGCCTAGGTTAAGATTGAGTGGTCCTAAGAGCGTGGCTCTGGAAGTGCCCTGGCCACACTCATTTTCTTCCTTCCCTTGAGGTCTCCAAGCCCGTCTCCCAGGCTTTTGGGGAGGGGACCGAGAACTGCTGAGAGCAGTAGGCTGGGGAGAGAGACCTGCTTCCCACTGTGTCAGTGGGGGCTCAGAGAAGTTGGGCAATTTGCCAAGGTTTACACCCAGCTCATCCTAGTCCTGATACCCCTCCTTACCAACTAGGCTTCTTTGCCAAAGGGTGGGGCTGATCAGGAGCTCCTGGACATTTAGTAAAACGCCAGGTCCTGGGCTCCATCCCAGGTAAGCATGAGCCCAGGTGAGCACACACAAACCTCTCAGCTACGGACAGGCTAAGATGCAGGGCCCACCCAGATGATGAAGGAGAAAGGAGGTACCTCAGTGGATCTGGATAGGAATAAAACCATGTTAGTGAGAAGAAGCTAAATCCTAAATTCCAAATGAAATAAATTGCATAGCACGTTTATATTATAATAGACATTAATAATTCAATACTAATGATAGTATATGTGGTCTGTTAAATATTCTTACGCCTTCAAAAAGCACAGAGAAGTTGGCCAAGGCTGTAGGAAATTGGGGTTACAGAGTTCTTTTCCACCCCAGAGGTTCCAGCCAGCTCCCCACCCCCAAGCCCCACCCTCCTGTTCCCATCAAGTGGCAGCAGCTGCTCTGGTTTTACTGTGGCTGGGTCAGGGATCCAGACCGCAGCCTAAGACCCAGAGGCCAGAAGGATCCGGTGTGTCCAGCAGCACCTCCCCAGTGCTGGCTTGGGCAACGGCTGCTAGGGACTGCAGACTCTCCTGTGGCACGGTGGCCAGGGGCTTCACCACCGTTAGCAGTCCCTGGAGATGGGGATATCTCACGACCCAAGTGAGGACCTCGGTGGCTCCAGGAGATGAGACACAGGCTGGGGGAGCAGGGGAGGGTGGGTAAGGGGGGGGGGAGTGGGTTCTCCACAAGCACCCCGAGCAGGAGTGAGGTCCAAGCCGGGGGCTAGCAGGGAAGCGCCAGGGCAGCCCTCCGCTGCTGCCTCCTTCTCTTGATTTATGGCCCCTTCCCCATTCACCAAACTGAAATAAACCACGGGCCAGCAAGGCCCCGTGGCGGGAGGCGTCCATTGCAGCCCCCTCCCTTCCGCCTCCCCAACAGCTTGCAGCCGAGCGCAGCCCGCTGTCCCCGGGGAGCCGCCCGTCCTCGCCCCCAGGTCGGCCGGCGGCCGGCCGCTTCCAATCTGCCGGCGGGCGCAGAGGGAGAGCGCGGCGAGCCGGGCGTGAGGCCACCGCCAACCCGGCCCCAGGGAGGAGAAAGTTTTTACTTTGCCTGACATCGCGGGGCTGCTCAGGCCAGGTCTCGGGTTTGGGGATGGAGCGCCTCGTGGTCCCGCTGCGGGCTCGGACAAGGAGCCGGGCGTCTGGCCCGCGGTAGTTTTCTGGGGAACCAGGAAGGGGAGCGGGAACGCGCTGCCCGGCGAAGGCCTGGTTTCCAAGCGTGCGGAGGGTGAAAGGCGCGCTCGGGGCCAGCAGGACCGCTCAAAGGCGAGGGCGCTCTCTGGAGCTCCGCTCCCGCAGACCCGGTCCCGATCCCGGGGCAGCGCGGAGAGGATCAGGCCCGAGTGCGCTCCAGATCTGCCTGGGGTCCTGGGCCCTGGCACCACCTGAGGCCCACCCAGAAAGACGTGGAACTAAAGACCGAGCCAAGGTCGGGAGGGCGGCCGGGGTGTGGGGGGCGCGGCGATATTCCCAAGGCAAAGGCCACGTTTCCAGTCCTGCCTTGACCGCTCGCTCTTCCCGGGGAGCGCCGGCTGCGCGCGGAGTCCGAAACAGACGTCTACGCTCGCACGGTCGCACTCGGGCGCGGTCCTATTCCGAGGTACAAGACACCAGTAACCCCGGACGTGCGTCGCAGGGGAGGCCACTGGCCGGGGAGTGGCGTGTGACTGCCTTCTTTGTCCTTGGCGGCCTCCCTGGACCACAGAATTTCTACGCTTTACCCTGTTGTTCCGGGCACGATGTTCTCACGGTCTCCATCCTCGCCCCAGAGAAAAACCATCCTTCAGGTCACCTCCCAGGCAGACACTAGGCCTTCTCCACCCTCCCAGGACTGCAGGGCCCAAAGGGCCAGAAGGAGAGGCTTGCAAATTGTCCTACACGGGAAACATCTAGAACCCAACAGAAACGCCCTGAAAACAACGTAAATTAAAATTTCTTCCTCGAACTAGGAAAGGGGTTCTCTGTCTCTTCACACGGACACACACACACACGCGCACACACGCACGCACACACCCACGCAGACACTTCTTTTTCCGCTGGGTTTAATACCTTTCTGTCCACTGGAGGAAGAAAAACGGGGGACAAAAATGATCTACTACAGAGCCACGGACAAAGCAACTCGAGTGACCTGGGAAGGGGTCGGGGAACGCTTTAAAAACAGCACATCCCAATCCAGCGGCCGCGCAGCCACTCGGTCCTCCTCCCGCCAGCCGTGCCCCCCTCGGCTAATCGCCCTCATTAGGGGCTTCATCACTGGCCTAATGAAAGCAAACCGTGTGGAAATCGCCGGTAAACAGTTGGGTCTGTGCTGTAATTAATTCAGTGTCTCTTTTAATCAAACTGAAAAGGAATCGGGCAGGGGCTTGCGGAGCCGTGACATCACCCCCAAAATCGGCCAGAGCCAATCAGCGTCATCACTCCGGGGACACGTGGGCGAGTCTCGTTTAAAAAAAACACAACACAACGAAAAAAAAGAGAGAATCAACAACAACAACAAAAAAAACCCAGCCCCAAAGTAAAAGTGACACAAGTTCATTTTTTAAAGGAAGGGGGGGAGGCGAAGGCGCGCGCGGAGGACGGGCGGAGAGCTGCAGCCTCGGAGCCGCAAGTCGCTGTCCACGGTGCTGACGGGCCCCTGGAGCGGCGGAGCGCGGATAGAGGACCTCCCTGGCCAGGTGGAGCGTCATGAACTGCGGGCCGCCGCCGCCGCTATCCGCGGTGCTGACGCCGCCAGGTGCGCTCGGTTCCGCCGGCTGGTAGCGCAGCCCAGGCCCGCTGCTATCCGCGGTGCTGACCACGCTGCCCTCGGCCACCGCTTGCCTGGAGGATGCGTGCGGTTTGGATTTTTAAAAAGCCGTTCTTTATTTAGATTCCAACATCCTCGCCTATCTTCTGTGCCACAGGGGCCCTCAGGCCGTCCTTCTCCCCCTTTGCTCTCCCCAACTTGGCGGCCCTCCTCCCATTCCTCCCTGACACTCCCACCACCCCCCCTCGGCTCGGCGGCTCGGTGCGATGCTGCAGAAGACGCGCTGAGCCCTTTTGGATCTAATGCGCACAGGAGGTTGGCCCCAAGCTCCAGAGCTCCCCCAAGGCTGAACTCTGTCCAAGGTGCCCGCAGGCTCCCTGCCCGCCTTCCCCATGCCAGCCCGCAGCTAGGGGCAGGGGCAGCGGCGGCTGGGGTTGGGGGTGGGTGGGGAGCTTTGGGGGAGGACAGGACGCAGCTTGGCTATGGAAGGCTCCAATGGTTTTGGGATCGACTCCATTCTCTCCCACCGTGCGGGCAGCCCCGCCCTTCCCAAGGGGGACCCCTTGCTCGGGGACTGCCGCTCACCCTTGGAGCTGAGTCCACGCTCGGAGAGCAGCAGCGATTGCTCTTCACCAGCCTCGCCAGGAAGGGACTGTCTGGAGACGGGCACCCCGCGGCCTGGCGGGGCATCGGGCCCAGGTTTGGACTCCCACCTGCAGCCGGGGCAGCTCTCAGCCCCAGCCCAGTCGCGCACCGTCACCTCCTCCTTTCTGATCAGGGACATCCTTGCCGACTGCAAACCACTCGCGGCCTGTGCACCCTACTCTAGCAGCGGGCAGCCAGCAGCCCCTGAGCCTGGGGGCCGCCTTGTGGCCAAGGCCGGGGAGGACTTTAGAGACAAGCTGGACAAAAGTGGCAGCAACGCCTCATCAGACTCTGAGTATAAAGGTAAGAAAACAGGAGGCAAAACCTTGGGGGATGGTATATTTCTAAAATCTGTTATTTAAAACTTGAGGGTACACATGCAGAAACATGCACGCTCTCACCCCAGAGCTCCCCCAGGGCCCTTGTGGAGCAGTTGGTTTTGCTTGAACCTTTTGGCCAGGCCCATGGTTGTATTTCTGAGCAACAAAGGGTCCAGGGGAAAGAGTGGGAGCTGGTGAGGGATATTGTGTGCCTGTGGACAGAGTTCTCAAAATGCACAAAATAAACTTTCTAAACTTGGAGTGGGACCACCAGTGGTGCCAGTGGACAGCAGCAGGTCTCTGCCTGGTCAGTGGCTCTCTAAGAGGCCGCACAGCAACGGGAGGCCCGAAGGGTGCTGTTTGTAGAAGCCAAAGCCTGGCAGGAAAATTTCGGCTGGAGTTCTGGGTACAGTCAGGGTTTTCTGACTTTTAATCTGAATTTCACAATGAGAAGGGAAACAGGGCTTTCCCTCCCACCGGGCCCAGTGCTACCCGCCCTGTGAACCATGCAGAAGAACACGTTCACTTCAAAGGAGAAATCGCACGGAGCTGGCCATCGAGCTGGCACAGGCTGGGAGGTTTGGTGGAGAGAGACAGCCACCACACTACGCAGTGCTGTTTGGATTTTCGTGCTTTGAGCAATCCAGGTTGTAGCAAGACCCAGAGGCTCCTGCACCACGGCCCTGCTTCCCTCCTTGGGGCTGGTGCCCCTGCACTTGCCTTTTCACCCTGTGAATTTTCGTTGTTGTTCTTCTTCCCTTTTTGTTCCCTCTTAACAAGGGAGCTGAGATCAGGACTGAGGGGGAAAGGGGAAAGGAAGGGAGACGGAAAGAAGAAAAAAAGGAAAGACTGGAGGGAAGAGGGGAAAAATTTCTTAGTTTTGTTTCTGATCCTCGGCTGCTACCTCAGCTTTACTGTCTGTTGGAGTCAGAGGCATAAAGTTCTTTTTTGGAAGAAGTCAAGAAGCACAAGGTGAGAAGGAGAACCAGGGCTTTGGGGAGAGAGTTCTGTGTCTCCATCCTGCAGAAAACTAGGAGTTGGTCCAGGCTGCTCACAGCTCTGTCAGAACCCTGGAATTCTTTTCACAAGACAAAATTTTCCTATAAAGGCAGCTCCTTTATTGTCTCAGGGGTCTGCATTTCTTAGCTCCTATTTATATCAAGCCCTCAAAAAAAATTTAGGAAGTCTCATTTAACACAAAATATAAGAATTCATTTGGAGACAGACCCTGACTCCAAATTGAAAACCATCTAGGGGTCTTATTTCACATCCTATTTCTCTCTACTTCCTCGTGTAAATGGCCGAAACCTCCTACAGCTAGGCTGGACCAGTCATCCCTAGAAAACAGGCAGGTTAGACTAGAGCACTAAGGAAGAAATCCGGAGGCATGCTGGACCTTGGACCAGAGACCCTTGCTCCTCCCTTAGGGCCTGTTTAGAGAGGCAAAGAAAACTTGCCTTGGAGAAAGACAGGTGTGTGTGTTGGCGGGGGTGGGGGGTGGCGGTGGTGATGAAATATAATTTATAACATCCTGTTTATTTACAATTTGCAACAATGTCTACCACCACCACCCAGCTTTGTAGTTAGAGCAAGCAGCAAGAATCTCCAGCTTTGCTCGAACTTACAGTTTGGTTTGTTCTCCTTGCATGTTTTTGCCCCAATAAGAATTTTAGGAGAGGTTTAATTTAAGATAATTGGATATCAGTTTTCTTCTCCTGTCCCTAATGATATCTGATCAGGGAGGTGATGAGGGCTGGCTGTCTACATATCACTTATATAGGCTTGGAGGAGCAGGGGTAGGTCTCCCCCACCCCTAGGTATGGCCACCTTTGCATTTAAAAAGCCCTAGGGTGAAAAAGTGAGGAGGGCCTGGGGCGCAAAGGCTGTGCCTGGAATGTTTCCCCAGTGTGTGGACAACCTTTTCAGAGTTAGGAAGTTTGGCTCAGATGGACACATGGAGCCAGCTGTGGAAGACAGTCAGTGGGGCATTTAAGTGGTCACCTCCCCAGCCACTATCAATGCTGAGTCATTTCCTCCAAGGAGGGCAGGGGGAAAGGCCAGTCTCATCACAAGTTTCTAATACCAAAGGTTTCTCAGCCTAACATTGAATGAAGTTGAAGGGGGAGCCCAGCTTTGAAGTAAGGCATCCTTAACAGTAGTGATGGGAGTCAAGATGCAGGAGAAAACAAACCACATCTTTGCTCCAGGCAGGGAGAGGTTGCTGGAACATTGAGCTGTAGCTTCCAGACCTAAGTCTGGGAAGGGGAGGCCCCCTGGCTGGGTCTGCCCCCAGCCACCAAAGCCTATGCTAGAGAGCTCTTGGAGTTTTAAAAACCCAGTAGCTGATCTGTTCTTCCTGAGTGGGGGATTTTCATAAATAGCCCAGGTCAGTAGGTTAAAAAGTAAGATTTCTGTAATATTGAGTTTGAGGTTTGGTTAATCCTTTCCCTAAACTTGTGTTAACTTTCTCAGCATGCACGAATCCAACTCATTTTTCCTCTCACCCTAACACAACCCCATCTCTGGTGATGGCTGTGTCTTCAAGAAGTCCAGCCTGCCAGGCAGGAACTGCCTGTGTCCGAGGCAGAAAGCCTCGCCCTCTCTTGCCAGGTTCCGCACCAGGTGCCGGCAGGCCAGTCGGGAAGCATTGCCTTTCTGGCTGAAAAGCTTCGCTCCCTAGTGGCTCAATTAACCGGATTATTGTTTCCTACAGAGAGAAATCAACTCGAATTCAGCTGAACCCTGACACTGCAAACGCCACACACAATGAAACTCACCATAAAAGAAAATTTTAAAAGGGGGGGGGGAGCCCCAGCCCGCACCCTCAGTTTTGGAGAAGTGGCCTATTTAGTTTTACAGTCTCTTTAGGGGGGACAAGGAGGGGCTGCGTCCTGCTTGTGGGATTAAGTGTGCGCTTTCTGACAGTCTACCCCAAACGAAAGCAGGGGAAAAGGAAATGACCCAAGTCGTTCTAGGTTCCATCTTTGGACCTCAGGAGCAGGGACCCCGGTGCTGTTCTGTCCCGACCGAGGGACTAACGAGATCTCCGCGCGGGTGTAGTGGGAGCCCCAGTGGGCAATGAAATGACAACGAAACCTAAGGAAGCCTAGACCTCGCTCGGTTCGCGCACCGGGGCAGACGGAGCGGTTTCTCTGGCAGATCCCGGCGCCGGCCTTCGGCCGCGCCCAAGTTCGTAGGACGCTAAGAGCCGAGAGAACTTTGACCCTAGATCGGTAGCCACACAGGGCCCGCGTGTGGTGCTTGTACAGTTATTTTATTCTTCAGGACAATGAACTGCCGCGGGGTGACAGGCTCTTGTCCCTCCACGCGGGATTCTCCCCGAACCCCAGCTTTCAGCTCTCTCCCTTCCCCTCACCGACTGGCCGGGCGAATGCGGCCCCGATGCTGCGGAGCCCACCCTCAGACACCCGGGTGCCCTCCTCCGACGGGTCGGTGCGGTCGCTCACTGTGGCTCCCTTCTGGGTCCAAGGAGCGCAGCGCAGGAGCGCGGCGGGGAGAAAGCGGCTCAGGGTTCCTTCTCCCCGGGGCCGCCCGCGGCTCTCAGCCTCCTGTGCTCCGGCCGGCGTCCCCCTCAGTCAGGGTTCATGCCCTGTTTCGGGGGGCCGGGAGTCCCGGCTCCAAAGGCGGTGCTGCGGTCCCCACGCGCTTAGGTGCTGCGGGGCCATCGATGTCCCAGGCCGCGTTTGCACAAGCACCACCAGCCGGCGGGCCGGCGCTGACTCGCCACTGTCTCCGCAGTGAAGGAGGAGGGAGACCGCGAGATCTCCAGCTCTCGGGACAGTCCCCCAGTGCGCCTGAAAAAGCCACGCAAGGCGCGCACCGCCTTCACCGACCATCAGCTGGCGCAGCTGGAGCGCAGCTTCGAGCGGCAGAAGTACCTGAGCGTGCAGGACCGCATGGAGCTGGCCGCCTCGCTCAACCTCACCGACACGCAGGTCAAGACCTGGTACCAGAACCGCAGGTGAGGCTCTCTGCGCGAGGGGCTGGGAAAGGTCCTTCCCTTGCAGATCCGGGAGGGGACCCAGATTCCACATTCTGGCTCTAAGGAGGGGCCCCTGAGTCCCCTATTCTGTAAAAGCGAGGAAATTGAGGCCCTGAGGGGAGAAGACTTTGCCCCAGGTCCCACAGTGAGGGACAGAAAAGAGACTAGACTCAGAATCCCTATGAGGTCCAAGACCTGCCCCCACCCCAGCCTGGGCCTTCCCCCAGCCCCCACCAGAACCCCCGAGTTCTCCCAGTGGAAGCCCCAGGGCATGGAAGGGGTGTGGACCTTGATCCCCCCAGAGTCCTGCAGGAGAGGACCAGCAGGCAGCAGCCCTTGCCTGCTGTAGCCCTGCCTGTCCAGGCGGCTGTGGCTGTGCCTCGGCATTTGCCGGGCTCTTTGGGACTCCCCAGTTTTCCCAGTCAGGAAAGGGTCTCCGGGGTAAACTGATTTTTCCCCAGTTCCTTGGGAGCATAGTGACTGAAATATTAGTGTTGGGGCACTGGTCTTGAATCAGTTTCCCAATCTTCCTCCTAAATACATCTGCGCACACACACACACACACACACACACGCAACCCACAGTGACACACACCGACATACAACTCACAGTCCTGTATACCCACAGTGGCTCACGTACTTAGCAGAGGCAGGAATGGTGCTTTTTATAAACAAGCCTCAGAACACGCAGCCCCATTAATAATAAATATGATTACTGCTCCAGGCATCAATAATTAAGGCCCGTTGCAGTAATTACACAATTATGATGATGATGAATAATTTAGGGAGGGAGATGAGCTGGTGTGGCTGAGCCCACCTCAGTGGAACCCCGACTGATCTGCCCAGCGTCACCTGCAAGTGAGCCCTGGGCTCCCAGTCTGAATTTTCTAAACTACCCAGGTCCATAGCTTGCCCAGTCCAGTGACCTCCCAACTTCAGGGCCTTACTGGATGCAGAGTTAGCCCCCAGCCTCAAACCTGGGTGTTCAGGGATGGTATGCATATGGAGGTGTGGCAATTTGGCAGAGCCGTTGGTGTATGTTGGGCCAGCCACCTTACAGTGGAGGTTTAACTCATGGGGCTTGCTTCTAGTGGTGGCCAGACCTCCACTGCCTCTGCTGCTGTCTCCTGAGTGATCTGACTTCATAAGGTCCTCCCAAGGGACACATATGAAGGGTGGGGAGAGCCCCAGCCTGGAGCTCCAAGGGTTGTGATGGCCTGGGCAGAATGTGGCAGGCGAGGTTATGGCCCAGTTTTGGGTGGGATAGCCTGGCTTAAAACATGGGCTTTGCCCTTCTCAGACCACCACAAAAACCACACCTCAGTTTTTTAATCTGCAAAATAGGGATAACAGCCGTGGAAGACCAGTGAAAGATTAAACGAAATGATGCCTGTAATGCATGTGAACAGTGTCCGGTGCTCCGTTGTTTATTAACAAATGGTGCCTCTGGCCTCCCTGCAGGCTCTCTGGGCCAAGCATTCGGGAGGGGCAGGGGTGGGAGGTGCTCTCGTCCTGACCCCGCGGTACGCGTTTATTTCGGTCCCCAGGACTAAATGGAAGCGACAGACCGCCGTCGGGCTGGAGCTGCTGGCAGAGGCGGGCAATTACTCAGCGCTCCAGCGGATGTTCCCGTCGCCTTATTTCTACCCGCAGAGTCTGGTTTCCAACCTGGACCCTGGTGCCGCGCTCTACCTGTACCGCGGCCCCAGCGCGCCGCCTCCGGCCCTCCAGAGACCTCTGGTGCCCCGCATCCTCATCCACGGACTCCAGGGCGCCAGCGAGCCACCCCCGCCGCTGCCCCCGCTGGCCGGCGTCCTCCCGCGCGCCGCGCAGCCTCGGTGAGGCGCCCGCCCGCCCCCGGCCGCGCTCCGTGGCCTCGGGCCACGCTCGGCGTCCGTCCCTTTCGCCCGCCTCTTCGGGCGCTCGCGCTTCGACGCCCCGGGGCGGGGGCTGCCTGGCTCTCCGCGGCGCCCCACCCAGTGTCCCCGAAGGGTCAAATGCCAAGTCCACTGAGGCCCGGACCCAACTGCGGCTCCCTACCCCCTCGGCGGCGTCCTCTCTCCGGCCGCCCCACTTCCACCCACCGAAGTACGTCCGCGCCACCGCCCGCCTCCAGCCCTCCCGCTCTGCCGGCTCCTCCAGTCGCCCCTTGCCCGCCCCCAGGAGCGGGCGGGGGTGACCCCCTGTCTCCCCCCTCCCTCTGCCCTTCCCTGCTCGCCGGGGACCCTCTCCCCGCGCCCCTGCGGGCTCGGCGGGGGAGCGGCGCGCGGAGGTCCACGCGCTCAGGCTGCGGCGCCCAGGCCGCGGCTCCGCTGTACATACCGTGTGCAAAGTGTATATGAAGTTATTTATTCGTGACCCATGAGCCCGTGACCGTGTCCGTGAATCAGTGAGTCTGTGGCCTGTGCCCTCCCCTCTGGGTGGGGCAGGGAGGCCGAGGGCTTGCCCGCCGCCCCGGCCCCGCCTCCACCTCCAGCCCGGTCCCCGGGTCGGCCAGGCCTCTTGGGTTCTCTTTTTTAAATGTCGAAATAAACTTCTTACAAACGACCTGGCGCCTGTCCGCGCTCCCGTCCGTCGGCCCGCGCTGAGGCCCTCTCCCATTCCTTGGCAAGAACCGTTTGCCTCTCTGTCCCTCCCGTCCTCAAAAGGGAAGCGGTTTTCTCCCCCTTCTCTCCCATGGCGCTGTGGTCGGGTACCGGGGACCACGACCAGACTCGCGGGGCTTGGGCAGGGGTCTCCCCCAGCGACCTCAGTCTTCCCATCTCTATAATGAGGCAATCCGTTGCTCTCCGCCCCCCTTCCTCTCCATCTGTTCCCAGCCCGTCCTGGGGACCGGGAGGCGCGGGGCCGGCGGCGGCGGGGGTCAGCGCCCGGCCTCCCTCTCGGCTGCAGGTCGGGCTGCGGGCTGCGGTGCCCTGGCTGAGCCAACTCATCTGGCCGCGGCCAGGGCGCCGGCAGCTGGTGACCGGCCCGCCGGGCGTGGGGCCGACAGATGGACTCCGAAGCTGCTACCTCATCATCCCACCCTCCTCTGCCCGGCGACCCCGGCTCTGACGCTTGCGGGCGCCAAGGCGGCTCCCTGGCCTCTAGTGCCCGGTAAAACCCATCGGGCGGTATCCACGAAGCTGACATCTCATCGGTAAACCCCTTTCGCATCCTCCACTGCCCCCTTCACCCTGGGAGTAAGTTAGAATGAGACCCAGACGGGAGTCAAATCCCAGTGTCTAACCCAGGCCTGCCCCTTCCCACCACCCTGGCCTGTGGCTCCACGATCCCAGGGGAGGGAGGGGGCTGAGTCCTCAGCCAGACTACAGGCCTCTAGATCACGTTCAAAGGGCCAAGGTCACACCCTGAGACCTTCCTCTGAGGAAGGGGGCACCAAAATGGCCAAGGCTGGGAAGCTTGGGTGCCTAGGGAGCCAAAAGCACCCTGCCCACCCCACCCTTTGTTGGTAGGATTGCTGGGGGAGGACTGAGATGGGGAGATGAGGGGCGTGTTCAGACTATAACCCCACAAACCAGGCCTGCTACAGTTTCCTCCCTGGCCCCAGCCCCCACACACCCTGGTCTTTCTTTCCTGGGATGGTGAGGGTATTATTCTAATTTTGCAAAATGCACAGCAGCTAATTAAGTCAAGGAGCCCCTCGGCTTTCAAGTTCTTTTGCATGTGAATGGGGGCTGGTAAATCCCCAGCTCTGGCTTTGGTGGGGGGTGAGGGGGGACTGTCCCCAACTCAGGGTTAATGAAGTGGGAAAGGAGTCTCTCATAGCCTCCTGCAAACAAAACCCCCCATGCAACAAACCCTGCCCAAATCCTACATGGATTGACTTAAACCCAGGGGATAAGTGCTTTAAATTAATCTCATTGAATAAGAATGAGACCAAACAAAACTCTTTAAAATCATATTAAAAATCTATCAAAGGACAACTTGCACCGGTGTGCTTTTCATTTTGTGGAAGTGGAGGAGGCAGACTGGAGCAACCACCCTTACATTTACACAGCCGCAGTGTAAATCACAGACACGTTCTCAACTATGTAATTGTCCTTGTACCTCAGAGGCGATTTCATATCTTACATTAATGAAGAACAAGGCTTCCCTACAAGTTTATAATTACAATATCTTAAATTGTCCTGCATATCCCATCTGTAATAATAACCTCACAACCTTAGCTGTAAGGTGGGCTTCTGCTTTCATCCATTTAGAAGGCCAAATTGGTTTCCCTGTTTCCAGCCCTGGGGGTGGGTAAGTCTTCATTTAAAGGTGGGGGAGGACCCCCAGCAGAGGGAACAACAGGGGGTCGTGAGAAGTTGCCTTTCCTGCCTTCCACCAGAGCCTCTCCCGGGACCCTGGAGCAACAGGGCAGGGCGACAGCTGGCAGTTTAGATGGCCACTGGCCCTCTGGCCAGAGAATCTAAACTGCCTACCCCTGTGGGCCCTGCCCTGGCTCCCCAGTGGAGGAACAGGTAAGAGGGGTGAGCGGTCCCGCCTGCCAGCGTGCTGAACTGAGACCTGCCTCCGGAGGCCCTGTCTAGGCCCCTTTCTCCCACAATCTCCCCTCCTTTCCCCTGGGGTGAGGGGAATGAAAAAAATCAAAGGAGCCCACTGGGCTTTGTCCACTGTTCTCTGCCAGCCTTCAGTAGCCTGCTTGCATTGCACCCGCAGGCTTAGTTACTCACCAAGAGCTATGTGCCCTTCAGTGCATGGGAACGGGGCCTTCAGAAGGTGGGCTGCGACTAGCGCTGCAAACAGGGAGATGTTCTGGATTCCAAAAAGGCCTTCTTCTGCCAGCCCACAGGGAGAAAAGTTTTAAGGCCACAGCATTACAGTAAATGTCCAAATTCTCTGTGACTCTAACATGGCAACCAGGCTTAAGTCATAAATGGGTAAGTTTGGGAAATTAGAAAAAAGAGGCACAATTAAAAATACACACAAAATTAGAACTTGTGCAGTGGAATTAGCCTAAATCTTTGCCTAATTGATGCCTGAAATGTATAATCTGTCAGGAGCCATAATAAGAGATTTATCTTAGGGTTATTTAAATTTAGACAATATTAACCCTAAATCTGCTAAATCCATGTTTCTTTATTAAGAGGGTGGTAGTATGTTGATTTTATTTAGAAGCACACAACACAACATCTCTAGTGAGACACCCTCACCTGATAGTGAATAGGATGTTTGAATTAAAGTCACCACAGTTTGAGAAGTTCTGACAGTGCTTCCGGAGGACTGAAGGACTCTGCAAGTCCCCCTGGACAGAAGGTGTGCTGGGGGCTCACACTGGTGGTCCGGACCACACGTGGCATCCTGTTCTCACAGCTGGGTCTCAGCCGTGAAAAGCTGGTTCCTCCTGTTCTTGTCCAAACCATATGAAACACACCTACCGCTGCGACCAGCCAGGAGGTGGTGAGGGGCCCTTCTTGCCACCCTCTCCCAGTTCTCCTGGAGCTGCGGGGTCACTGAAGTGCTGCCTCACTCTGTCCTGGGAAAGCCACGGAGGGGGTCGGGCCACAGTGCAGAGCAAGCGCAAGGAACAGGCGGAGGCCTGAGTGGGGCCTGGCTCCCGGGCTGTCTCTTGTGAAGCCCTCTCATGTCCAGATCTTACATTTATTGGGAAATCAATACGCTCCAGGGGTCCTCTTTCAAACCTCCCAGAGACACAATAGTGGGGGGCAGCTAGGGTCTGGGTCACAAAACAAAGACCCCAAACCTTTCTTGAAGGCAAGATGGGATTTGATGGGAAGAAAAGCCCAGGCCTTTTGACTTGAAAGGCAAGTAATAACAAGGCAACAGAGAGCCGGCCAGCCTCCGAGTGAGTTTTCCCTGCGCAGGAAGGGAAGTCCACACACCAGGTGACGCTGTGGCGACAGAGGGCCTGCCATTGCAAGCATGTTTGTATTTTGACCCAGACTTTATGGTTCTTCATTTAAAAAAGCATTTGAACATAAAGAAAATAATTACTTGACAAATACTTTTTTGTACAAACTCAAGTCCAGTTTTTAACCAATTCACATCATTCATGCCAACACCAGCATGGGCAGGGCAGAGGTTAGGGTTAGGGCAGGGCAGAGGTCAAGCTGTGAAGCTTCTTTGGACAAGGACACGGGGTGGGCGAGGGGAGGGTGCCATCACTGCAGACCGCGCTGGTGCTGGGCGTCCGGCACTGAGGAGCACCTGTAAGACCTCTCTCTGCCGTCACCTGGCTAGCGGACCTGCTGGCTGCCCCTCCCCACTCACTCTATCATGGTTCCTCTACCAAGGGGTCAGGGCTGGCCCTGACGTCTGAGTCCTGGGGTCTGGGTGTTCAGGGAGAGGTGCCTCCTCTGATGAGAACAGGCCTCAGAGCCACTCGGAGGCCTAGTCCCAGGGAGGAGAGGAAGGGCTGCTGTCCTCAGTTGTCTCCGGGTTTTCTGGCTCCAGGGTAGTTCTGTTTTCCCTTGGCTACAGGTTTCCTGATGGCTTCGCCTTCCGGCCTCCTCTCGAAGCCTCCAGGCCACTTGCATATTCAGAGCGCAGGACCTGGGCGAGATGGTGTGTGCTCTGGGTCTTCTTGCGAAGGCCGGGCCTGGAAGACAGGGACAGCAGAGGGAAAGAAACTTTAGTATGCTTTCCTCCTGTTTGGAAAGAGGCTGGCGCAGCTGGCCCTGAGACGGAAGCTGACATTTCTGTATTAATAGAAGTGCAATCCCTTCAATGTGCTTGTTTTGATATTCTATGCACCGGAAGATTAGATACGGCACTGACAGATTTTCATAATGGTGCAAAATATCATGGCATTTTTAAAAGTGAGGCTTTGTTCTGTGTTGTTTTTATGAGGAAAAAAAAAAAAAAACTCTACATCCTCAAACTCTGATGGCAAATGAGGCGTGTGATATAGCAGTCTGCCAAAGGATCAGAAAACCCACCAGAAGACTCAACAACACGAAGCCATGAGACCTGTCGGTGTTCTAGTGACCTTGACACAGTTCAAAGTACCCTCTGGGTGCTGGTGGGCCTTGGCACCAGGCTCTCTAGGACAGGAACTTGCCAGGCCCACCCGTCCTGCCAGGTCCAATAGGAAGGTGGATGTCAATCACAGATGTCCATTGCTGCCAGAAGATTCTTAAAATCGTTTCTAACCTTGAGAGGGTGGGCTCAGGGTGCAGCCTGCCAACACCTGTGTGGAGCCTTCCCAGAGGGGTAAGTCCTAACCCACACTAACAGCTGAAAGCCATTTCAGATGCTGAACTGTGCTCAAGACAGCAGTCTCACAGCTGATCAGAGCAGAGGAGGAAATCCGTGGAAGTTCAACAACACACAGAAGAATGGTTATAAAACTGCAGAGCAGAGTGCTTCCCGCAGAACAAGAGCAACGTGCCCCTGAGCCTGCGCCAGCAGCCAGGCCGAGCAGTGTCCTGACAGCGTGTCCATAGCCCTCACCAAGGGCAGCTGACACGTGCCACTGTTTTGTTTGCTCTAATAACCAGAAGATGAAATTGATTGAAATTGTGGTCAAAATAAATTAAACAGGATTCCCCTGAAACCCAAGAATTTGAAACAAGACCAACACTACACTATTAACCTG